ACCACCCCCTGCGCACCATCCCCTGGCGTCGAGAAGCAGTGTCGTGGATAGCGGCCGCAGTGAGAGACCACCCCTTGCGCACCCCGTCTGGCGTCGAGAAATTGTCGCGTGTCCTCCTCTCCTCTCCTCCTCCCCCTCCTCCCCCCTCCTCCCTGCGTTTCACTCACCCAGTACAGCGCTTCGTGGCTTCATAAGGAGCTCCACCGAAGGCTCCAGTGGCAGCGTTCGAATGGCGGCCCCGCCCCATTTTGGCGCACCCCTCACGAGGATCGTTGCCCCATAGGGAGTTCCACCGAAGGCCCCAATGGCAGCGTTCGCATGGCGGCCCCGCCCCATTTTGGCGCACCCCTCACGAGGACCGTGGCCCCATAGGGAGCTCCACCGAAGGCTCCAGTGGCTGCGTTCGCATGTGGGCCCCGCCCTATTTTGGTGCACCCCTCACGAGGATCGTGGCCCGATCGGGAGCTCCACCGAAGGCCCCAATGGCAGCGTTCGCATGGCGGCCCCGCCCCATTTCGGCGCACCCCTCACGAGGATCGTGGCCCCATAGGGAGCTCCACCGATGGCGGCCGCGGTGAGAGACCACCCCCTGCGCGCCCCCTCTGGCGTCGAGTAGCGGTGTCGTGGATAGCGGCCGCGGTGAGGAGACCACCCCGTGCGCAGCCGCTTTGGTGTCGAGAAAATGCCACGCCTGCCACGCTTTGCGCGCACACAACGGATAGGGAGGCCACCCCCTGCGCTTCGCTGTGCTCTCCTGTGCTGTGTTGTGCTGTGCCGTGCCGTGCTGAGCTGAGCTGAGCTGTGCTAAGCTGTGCCGTGCTGAGCTGAACTGAGCTGAGCTGAGCTGTGCTGAGCTTTGCTGAGCTGTGCTGTGCTGTGCTGTGCTGTGTGCGTGAGGAGGAGGAGGAGGAAGAGGAGGAGGAGGAGGAGGAGGAGAAGGGGAGGAGGGGAGGCGGAAGGAAGACGCCGGTGCGACGTGTCAGTGAAGAAAACCAGGACCCCACGAAGCGTGTGGGGAAGAACCATAACGACCGCGACCACAACCAGGACGACGACCGCGACCGCTACCTCGCCGACGAGTGCGAAGACGAAGACGGTCACGACCACGACCACGACGACGGCCACGACCACAACCACGAGCAAGAGGACGGCCACGACGACGACAACGCCCACGACGGTTGTGACGACGACGACGACGACCGAAACCGCAACCACGACGACCACCGCGACCCCGACGACGACGACGACGATCAAGATCGAGACAACGGCGACCACTGCCACGACAACGGCCACAGCAACGCCCATGGCCACGACCACGACCACGACGACAACAACGACCACGCCCACGACGAAACCGATCACGATCACGAAGGCTACGACCACGACGACATCCAAAACGACGGCCTCGACCACGACGATGACGACGCCGACAACGACCACTGCCATAACGACGACCACGACAACGACCATGGCGGCGACCACAAAAGCGACGGCGACGACCATCACGGCCATTGTGACCACAACGACCACAACGACCAACGCCACAGCAAAAACGACGACGCCAGCGCCCACGGCCCTCCCATCAGGGCTTTCGGTCGAATTCCTATCGAGCAAAACAGGCACTAATCGCGCAAGGTTGCGCCGACTTGGGCGCGGCGGCGCCATGCGGACCCTTTTAATTGGGCCATTCGGATGAGCTCCATATGGTGCCACCAACGCTGAGGGGTGTGCCAACATGTGCGCAGTGATGATGATGCTGGCGCTGGCGGTTGTCCTGGCGATGATTGGTGCGAGTTTTTCAATTGATGCCTAATTTCAATGGCGCCCACGCCAGTGTTTATAGGCAAAGCATGCTTTCAAAATCATGCAGCCGTTTGGTTAGCCCCCAGTGCGCAGCCCTCACGCGGCTCGTGCCCCCATTAGCCTACAGGGAACGGTAGCGCAGGGCCTTATGTATGAGAGAGTCCGCAAGGGCGCTGCCGCGCTCCTCTTCTCCGGGTCCATAAGGCAAGGGCGGCAAGGGCGGCAAAGGCTGCGGCATTCGTACCAAAACGGCTATACAGCATAACCGATATCATCGTCGTCATCATTCACATGCACGCGTCAGCGTGCGAGCGATGCTCGCTATGCCACGGCATGATCAAGCCCACTCGGCTTCCGAGGCGAGCGTGCTCGCGATGCATAAATGTGAGATCTGCCAGAACATAATCAAACAACACATAAGACATATACGTAAACCATATTTTTTGTTCTTCATATACAAATAAAAAAGAAAGAAAACAGACAACTGAACAATGCTTTTTACAGGATCAACAGTGAAAATTGTAGTGTCTATGTTTGAGTTTACATTCTGATAGTTATCGAATAGTTCGCTGCATGTTGATATAGGATAGTTATGCTATAGTTTATGAATAATTGAACAAACCATTTATTAACTATCACATGACCATCCTACAGCTGTTACTTAACTATCGTACATCTATTCGAAATCTATTCTGAGATAGTTTGCGGCGGGCCTCCGAGCCCCCCCGGGCGCCGGAAGCAGAAATTCAGCATTTTCAACAACAAAACAAATGTGTATTAGAATGGCGCCGCCTCGGAACAACAACATTTTTTCGGCGCCGCCTCGGAACAAACAGCATTTTCAACAACAAAACAAAACAACATTTTTTCGGCGCCGCCTCGGAACTCGATTTTCCCGCGGCGGCCGGAACCGGCTCCGGACCCGGCCCGAGCGCCGGCCTGGGCGCCGGCTCGGGCGTGCAGCCCGGGCGCCGGCGGAAATGATACCAGCACTGCAGCGGGAGCACGATTCGGAACGGGTGGGGCCCGAAAGTGAGGCCGGCGCCCCAGCGAGAGCAGCATTTTGGAAACAAATGCAGGCGAAAACCCAACTCTGGGGAAACCTGTGTGTCACAAAAACAGTACGCGGGGGGGGGGGGCGGCTACTCCCAATACGTCGTCAGGGGAACAGGGACAGTAGTATTCATATTGAGTAATTGTGGAGGGGTCAAGGCACCCTGTCCGCACGCAAGCTGTCTAGCTCACTCCCACCCGCCCTCCTACCACATAAGTGGCATCTGAGTCTCGGCATAGCTAGGGGTCGCCACTGGATGGACAGCCACTGGGAACCAAAGCGGACGCCAGGTGCGCGACGCTCGCCGCGGGTTCCGCATGGGATTGGTGTGCCTCCTTGTAAAAAATGTAATGCCCCCCCGTCCGCATGGTCCAGATACTGATGCGAGGGGCGTCAGCATTGTTCCGGGCCTGCGCACATCAAGCATCATCATGCGGGTACCACCGCGATCCCAGTCAAAAAACAATACAAAGTGATCGCGGGTGGCCAGCACAATATACCTACGACGTCGCATCATGCATTTTGCCTTTTTCTTGACACGGATGGTGGTCCTGCACAAAGCGGCTTCTTTAAGGGTGCCTCGCCATCTTTGCAAACAAAGAATACAACGTGCTCACAGGGCGCCAGCGCACTGTTCAGATTTTGCTGCAATAGGCACTTCGTATTGTTCTTTGACAGGGATTGTGGAGGGTGCTGTCAGCGTGGGCCTCGCCATGTGCATGTGGTATTGTATTTGACAGGGATGGGGGGGGGGGGCGCGCCCTCATGGTGTGCGCATGGTTCCGGTTGGGTTGGCTGCCGGCCGGGTGGGGGAGGGGGTGTTTATTGATAGGGAACAGTGATCAAGCTACCCACCCGCCCGCAAGCCGTCTAGCTCACTCCCACCCGCCCTCCCAACACAGAAGTATCACCCGAACCTGAGCATGTTCAGCGGTCGTCTTTGGATAGACAGCTTCTGGGAACCAAAGCCGACCCCAGGTGCGCCACGCTTGGGCGAGGTGCGCCACGCGTGCCAGGGACGCCAACCGCGCCAGGCACCCCTGGGGCCCGAGCGTGCCAGGCACGCCTGGTGCGCCAGATGCGCCACGTGCTCCGAGTGCGCCAGGTGTGCCGCACACTCCAGCCGCACCATGTGCGCCACGCTCGAGGCACGTGCAGAGTGCGTCAGATGCGCCCGCGCACGTGACAGCACACACCGGGAAACACGCTGGCCTTCTGCAATTCTTTTTGACAGGGATGGTGGGGGGGGGGGCGCATCGGGTTGGCCGCGCACGGGTGGGGGAGGGGGCGCACACTAAAAAGGAACAGTGATATAAACCATTCCCCGAAGGGGAAGAGGGAAGATGAAATAGGAGCCGTTTTGAACCACCTCCGCCCAGAGGGCTGGTGGGATTTCGAGGACTCCGAGCCGAAACACAGATTAAGCCAATCATCTCCCCCCTTTGGACGCCCGACATGGGTACGAAAAGAATGGGTACAATGCCCAACAACAAATGTTGTCCCAAACCAACAGCGGTTGCTGTTGGGCGGGCGGCCTCCTGTTTCGAATGGGCACAGGCCGCGGCGGCGCGGACAGCGAGCCCTGTCTGGCATGAACAGGAACTGCTGTTGGGCATCGTACCCATTCTTTCCGTGCCCATTTCGGGCGTCCAGACTCTCCTCTTCTCCCTTTCTCCCGCCGTCCTTCCCTCCCGCCTCGTCCTCTGCTCCCTCGGACACCACCCGGCAGCCCCTCGGACTCCACACGCTGCCGGGCGTCGGCCGTTCCACGATTGGCCAGGCGCGCCGCAGGTCTGCGAGGCCTGCGAGGGGCAGCGGGCACGGGGCCCAAGAGGAGACCAGAGGAGGAGGAGGAGGAGGAGGAGGAGGAGGAGGAGGAGGAGGAGACGGAGGAGGGGGAGGAGGAGGAGGAGGAGGAGGAGGAGGAGGAGGAGGAGGAGGAGGAGGAGGAGGAGGAGGAGGAGGAGGAGGAGGCGGAGGAGGGGGAGGAGGGGGAGGCGGAGGAGGAGGAGGAGGCGGAGGAGGAGGAGGAGGGGGAGGAGGCGGAGGAGGAGGAGGAGGGGGAGGAGGAGGAGGAGGCTGGCGACGGAGGGCCGGGCGGCGTCGAAGGCCACGGAGGAGCGGCGCCCCCGCGCCGGCCGAGGCAGTGCGGCGGCCACGGCCACCCGGCGAAGGCGCCCGCGCGGCCTCTCGGCCTCGGGAGGGGCCAGGGCCACCCTGACATGACTCCGGATCCGCCCTCCTTGGTGGAAATTCGTAAGCAGGGCTTGGAATTTCCGCCTTACTTTTCAAGCCCCGCCGATTCCACTTCCCGCCCTATGCTTTTCTGTTGCCGTTTACGCCCTAAGCCTGTGGAGTTACGCCCTATTTTGCGTTGGGTGCAAAACAATCCGCCCTACTTTTTCGGCTTCTCATAGGTGGATTTACGATGCAATTCTACGTTGGAGAATAAGCCACAGTAGGGCGGATCTGGAGTCAGGGCATGGCTAAGGGAACAAAAAGTGACACAAACAGAAAAACTCTAAGGTCCGCGCGGAGTTCTCGGATCGGCGCCGGGGCCCCCCGGCGGCGCCTCCGGCGCCGCCCCTGGCGCGCTGCGCGCGCCAGGGAGGGGGGTCCAGCGCCGGTCCGAGAAATCCGCGCGGACCTCCGAATTGTTATGTTTATGTGACTTGTTTCCCTAAGGGCGGCGTGAAGCCCAGGCGGAGACCGGGCGCTCCATGTGGACTTACTCCGTACGGACTTGGCCTCCTTTCGGGAGTGCCAAGGTCCAGACCGGGCGCTCCGCATGGGCTTACCCCGTACGGACTGGGCCTCCCGTCGGGAGCGGCTAAGTCCAAACGGGGGCAAGTCCAGACGGAGACCGGGCGCTCCGCATGGGCTTACTCCGTACGGACTTGGCCTCGTATTGGGAGGGGTTAAGTCCAGACGTGGGAAGTCCAGACGGAGACCGGGCGCTCCGCATGGACTTACTCCGTACGGACTGGGCCTCCTTTCGGGAGCGGCTAAGTCCAAATGGGGGCAAGCCCAGACGGAAACCGGGCGCTCCGCATGGACTTATTCCGTACGGGCTTGGCCTTGTATTGGGAGGGGTTAAGTCCAGATGGGGGAAGTATGGGGGAAGTCCAGACGGAGACCGGGCGCTCCGCATGGACCTATTACGTATGGATTTAGCCTCCTATGGGGAGAGGCGAAGTCCAGATGGAGTAAGCCCAGACGGAGACCGAGCGCTCCGTATAGACTTGCGCTTCGGACGGGGCTATGACGAGGACAAATCCGTTCCAGAGCGTTCCAGAACGCTCTGCGTTCCGCAACGCTCTGAGAAGGCCGCGACTCCTGGTACATCATCCAGAACTGCCGTATCTCATAGATTCTCGATTTATCCTCACCTGCATTTGTCCTCGTCCTGCCTTTGTCCTATCCGAGCCTATCAGGGGCCCACAAAAGGGGCAAGTTGTGTGTACTCTGACGATGGAGGCGAGGGGGCTGGTAAGGTCACGAATCGCGCCAGCGCCGTCTGGGAACTCGCTACCCCTAGCAATTCACAAACTGCGCCGTCTGCGCGATTTGCAATTTGTTCGCAATTTGTTCTGGGGCCTTGAGGCCAGATGTTTTTTGGCGTGGTTGGGCCTTCATTGGGGTACCCTGGGAGGCTCCTTGCCACCACGGCTAGATTCGCCTCGGAATTCTGGTCGGGACGCACGCTGGGACGGCTTCGGGTGCCGACGTTGTACCCCCGAGCCCAGACTGCGAGCTCCAGGGCCTCCTGCTCCTCCTCTTCCGCCTCCTTCTCCCTCCTCCTCTCTTTCGCCTCCTCCTCTCCCTTCTCCTCTCTTCCGCCAGATGCTGGACCGCCCGCCGCCCGCGCAGCCTTCTGTGACCACCGGTCCCCCCTCCCTGCTCTCTGCGCTGCGTCTTCCTCGTTCCTGGTCGTCGTCTTGCCTCCCCTGCTCTCCTGTATCTCCTGGCTCCGTGGCCTCTCTCGCTCCTCTCGCCCCTTGTCCGGGGACCTCGGGGGCGATTTGGGAGGGCATCGTTGAGTGATTGACTTGGCATCGCTCAGATGTGTGCGCTTTTTCTCAGCGAGGGCCATCGAGGAGCATCTTGGCTCATGTTGCGAAACATAAGCGCACGAAATCGAAAAGTGCACGACGGGGCATGGACGTCCGAGCGATGGCGAGACGGGGGTTGGCGCCGATCTCTTCGCCCCGTCGGACCCCGAACAGTCGCCTCTCGGGATCCTCTTGGAGTGCCCTTAGGCGTTCTGGGGGCTATCTCTTGGGACCATCTTGAGTCAAAGAGCGACTTTTTGATCCGCGGGTCGAGAGCGCACCTCTTCCGGTCGAAGCTAAGCGGGCCGCGCGAAGCTCGAATTAGGCGGAGAAGAGGAGGGAGGAAGCGGCGGAGCCTGTTAAAGTCAAAGAGCGACAAACTGCATAATAAAACATACTTTTTGGGAACCCCGCGCGGATTTCTCGCCGCCGGGCGCCCTTGGCAGCGCCTCCGGCGCCGCCCGTGGGGCGCTCCGCGCGCCAGGGAGGGGGTCAGCGCAGAGCCAAGAACATCCGCGCGGACCTCCGAACGTTTGTTCCCCACATGCTTAGTGGGGTTCTGGTTTTCTTCGCTGCCTCGTCGCACCCGCGTCTCCCGCACCTCCTTCCTCCCCTTCTCTCACAGCGCAGCACAGCGCAGCACAGCACAGCTCAGCACTGCTCAGCACTGCTCAGCACAGCTCAGCACAGCTCCGCACAGCTCAGCACAGCACAGCACAGCACAGCTCAGCTCAGCTCAGCACAGCAGGGCACAGCAGGCGTGGCGTTTTCTCGACACCACAGGGGGTGCGCAAGGGGGTGCGCAGGGGGTGCGCAAGGGGGTCGATCCATAGACGATACATGGGGCGGTCTGCATCGACGATGTATCGACGATACATGGGGGATGTATCAGCAATTCGAGGGCGATGCATTCCTTCTTATGCTTATCTCCCCTATCGTTGCCCCTTAATTTTCTCGCTCTAGCTTCGGCCCCTGCTCCGCCTGCTTCTCTTCCTCGGCCCCTCTCATGTGTCGTCGTCGTCGAGGTCGTGGTCCGCCTCACCTCTTGCCTGTCGGTAGGTTTGATATGACCGCCATTGCTTCATGGGTTTCGGTACTTCGATCTGCCCGCCCTACGCATGAGTGAACTTCACGCAGGAGTTGGTTCTAGTAATCGCATTCCGCGGCTGACTTATTGACGCTTCGCGTGTCCCCACCAGCCGGCAGCGAGACACGCCTCCTGTTTGTTCCTCTCCCCGCGTTCTCTTTCTCTTTTCTTTCTCGTCCTCTCTCGGTGCGCGTAATTCATGCCGTTTCTCGCTTGTGGCGCCTCTGACGCACGCCCGACTTCCCTCGACGCGGTTGCGATCAAAAAAGTGCCCACTAGCCCACCGAGAAACGATTCGTAGCACGAGTTGCCGTAAAGAGGGGAGAGGACCATTAGTGAATTAGAGAGGGAGGACAGAAGCCAATCCGAAGCTGGAGTCAGCCCGAGCAGCCCACTACACTGGTGAACGTGGAGTCCTCTCGTATCCTCGTTGAGGCCTGTGGGAGGCCCACCGGAGCCGTCTCAATGCCTTGGGCGGGAGATTTGGGGGCCTTTCTGGGGCTCTTTGGGAGCCCTTTGGGCCCTCCTGGGCCATCCATGCGGCAGTCGACCTAAGGGGATCCTGAACTTAGTGGGCCCTGGAAACGACAGGGCCGTTTTTGTTACTTGTTCCGTCTAGCCGCTTCTTTGCAAATTCGAGCACCGTTTTTTTGTTAAGGTTCCGTCGCCGATGTTTGCCATTTCTGGTTCTGGCTCCAATTCCAGAGCCGCTTTTGTTGCTGTCGGTTGCCGTTTTTTTCCGCTTCCATATTCAAGAATGTTTGTTCGGAAGCGGTGAAGAAACGGCCTTGCCGTTTCCAGGGTGGTGACAGGACAGTAGTCTCGTGGGGTCCTCTTGGCATTCTTGGGACTGTCTTGTGGTGCTCTTAGAGAGATTCAGCTTGGGGCTGCTTTGTGGTGCTCTGGACTTTAGGCGCCTCTTGGACCTTCTTGGAGCCCTTTTGAGCCGGCCTCGTGGGCGGTCTTGCAGGCGATCATGGGGGTCTCTTGAGCCGTCTTGAAGCGTCTACAGCCCGAAAAGGCGAGAACGCATTTTTCTCTTGAACAGAGGCACTGAAGCACATCAATGATGTTGGCCTCACGGTGCCTTCTTGGAGGGCCTCATGGAGCCATCTTGGGCCATCTGGAGCGTCTTGGAGCAATCGTGGGCGAATCCTGGCGCCCTTGGACCGTCGTTGGGGCCTCTTGGGGCCCTTTTTGGCGGTTTTGGGGCCTCCTCTCCAAAACAGTCGGACGAGCCCGAGAGGCGCGCGGCGCGCGCCCCGGGAAATCCACCAGGCTCGGGGCCTGGGCCACCCAAGATTGAGGACCCTATGGCTCCAAAGGGCCCGAGGATACTCCAATTCGTGCCTCGGTGCACGGTGGGAGGGAGACACGGTGAGAGAGGGAGTGAGAGGGAGAGAAACGAAATTATCAATGTATATTGTGTAAGTATATATGCAAACATGTGTAATCTCTATATATATATACACATGTGTGTTTGTCTACGCGCTTGAAATGCAGACTTCTATACTGCACAAGTAGACATATAGACACTCTTGCGCTCTCGCTCTCTGTGCTGCCGTATCGTCCCTTCCCTTCGTGTTCCATGACGTTGATGTGGTGAGATGAGCACAGCCATCACGGTGCTTCGTTGTCTGGTTGCGCGAGGTAGTCGTAAGCGTTAGTTTCTCAAGCACAATTCCATCCATTGCCGTCTGCATGGTTGCATGCATCACATAATTCAGAAGGACACAGTTTGGTCCCTTAACATGAACTTATACCGAGAGTCCAATTCCGCGGTCTTTAAAGCGTGCCCCGGTCGTGCCAGTTCAAAGACAATCTCCAGGTGAGTTGTAACGTTGTCAACCGACGTCTCGATTGCCGCAAGCAGCACGTGGTTCAGCACGTGGTTCGACACATGTCATAATGCATGTGCGGGCACGGCGCCGCAAAGTTCGTATGCACACCACGCCACGCATACTTCGCAGACGCGGCGTATCCGAACGAGGCGCTAGCGTTTGT